TGTGTGTGTGTGTGTGTGTGCGTGAGTTACAGGAAAGGGTTAAGAAAAGGTCTCCACTGAAGAATGCCTAAAAGCCTTAAATGATTTCCAAAATGAAAAATCGTCGGGGACAGAAGGATTACCTACGGAGTGTTATAAATTTTTTGGAGAGAATTGCATCTTGATAAGATAAAAAGTTTCCACTTTGCTTTTGATAGAGACGAAAAAGAAATTCTACCAAAAATGTGTACAAATTATTGTTGAAGAAATTCTCGCACCACCTCCTGCTGAAACTAAGATATGGTGTCTCCCCCGAAACCGTCCAAAAAGTGTACGAATTACCTTTCCAGATCAAATACGACATTAAAATAACAATGTTTCAATATAAGATTATACACAACATTCTCGCAACCAAAATTTCTGACAGCGATGTATGTCCTCAATGCTTAGCTGATACACACTCCTTAAATCATATGTTCTTACGCTGCTCTTTCGTTATAGCCTTTTCGGAAGACCTTTCAAACCTGGTGGACAAATAAAACCAAACTGCAACTAACATTATCAAATAGTATGATTTCATACGGTGTTTATGCGTTTCTAATTGCAAAATTTTCTATATACTGCAGCTGCCTACACGACGAAAAGCTCTCTTTCGACACTTTTCTCATACTTCTAAAAGAAAACTTAAATGTACAGAAAGAAATAGCATTTAAAAACAAGTCTATTACTGCTTTCCAAAAATCCTCTCAACATGTTATTTAACGTGCATTGATGACGAGTCTTCTTTGTTTTTGGTAACTATGTAAACGATGTAAAAAGTGTTTATGTTAATGCTTATACCGTATAATTTTATTAACTTTTTTGTCTCGCTTTTTTTATATTTAATTAACTTTTAATTTTTTCTAGTTTAAATTACTTTACTGTGATATGTTTTTCAGTACCGATCAATCGACATGTCTGTACATTGTAACTGTAGTTGTAAAATGTGTAATCATTAAGTAATAAGTTTTGTAAGTAATGTTAGTTAACAAATAAAGAAGTCTAAGCCGTGTTTTACACTGTGATAAAACATGACGGGCATTTAAGAACACGAGGGAAATGTAGAAAACACGAGCCGCAGGCGAGTGTTTTCTATTTTTCTCGAGTGTTCTCAAATGTTCAGAGTGTTTTATCACAGTGTAATACACGGCTCAGGCTTCTTCATTTGCTTTATGATGTAGAGGTAATGCAGCGAAAAACAATAAAACAAGCTTTTCTATGTTTTACACTCTGATAAAACATGGGTTTTCCACCAATCAGAGCGTGAGCAGTGTCCTATCTATATTATAACCTCTGTTATAAAATAACTGAGATACTACGCACGCTCTGATTGACCAATAGAGCTGCTAAACCTAAGTTCTATTGTACCCGGTAAATCACGGTTCCCGATCCATGGCAGCTCTACGAGGGAACTAGACAACTCGGAACTCTAGCGATAACAAATGTAATAAACAGTTTTGCCTTTCACTGGCTCAGATATCAATAATGTGAATATCTTTTCATTCAACATATACAGGGAAATTTGCAAGGAAAAACAGGTACAGAAGTTGGTCGTCATATAAAGCTTTATCTTATTTTCCACGGCAAAAATTTTACGCCGACTCCGGTTACGCTTGAGATTAAAATTAAGGAAGTTTTAAACCCTTTTTCGGGTGTTTTCCACGGTCTGTGGAGGACGAAGTCAGCTGGACTTGACTTATCAATTTGGGTTGTCAAAAAAGCCGGGAAATGATTTCTTTCTATCAGAAAAATTGAGTTCATGAATGCAGTAATGAATGCATATACACGATAAATGAATTTGGTTTCCATAAGCTTAGCTTTCAAGCAATAGTTTTCATTTAACAAAATACAGAGAAACACGGACTTCATAGCCTTCAGCATAAGTAAATAAATTCTGAATAAATTTCGGAAGCAGCGTTTCTGTAATTTACCTTTATTTCATATGGAAAACTTTGGAAAGTTATCGTTAAACACAGCGTTGAATCACTTCGCCAAGCGTATGAAGTTTGGACTACTTGCAAACTTTTCGTGCAGTCTTTTACTTTCGT